TAACATATGGACGTACGTCATGTATAATATATATATATTTACATTATAATAAATTCATGATATTCATCTATCACCTCAATATATAAAATACAATCAATTATCATACCTACTATAATTACGTCATTGGGAAAACATGATTGAACTTTTTGCATCGCTGTATTACTAATTATTTATATGAATGATTATGTTCTTACAAATTCTACCTATACCTATATAGGTACCTACTTAATATTTTAATCCATGTAATTCAGTTATTTGTTTTCATTAACAATTATATGTTCGATTTTTTATGGAAATTGAATTATAAAGATATGTTATACGATTAACTAAATAATATTATGAATACAGATTAGGTAATATAAATAATTTATAAATCAAAGTTTTCTGATTTTCTATACACCTATAATCTATGGTTAAATTTATGTCTTTCTAAAATTATATAGATAACTATGTGATAATAATAATATATGGACATATAGTACCTACCTACATTAGTACCTACCTATTACACACAATACATTCATAATATGTATATAATTATTATTATTATTTAGATACATACTATATGCATACATATAGATATAATTATTACTTCTTTTAATAATAAGCATATTCTGCATTAATTTTCTAACTATGAATGAGTTTGGAATAAACTGTAATATTTCTAATCTAACAACCTATTACCTAACTAATAAGTAATAACTATATAGGTACTAACATAACATATAACCCATAGGCAGATTTAGAAGTTGTATTCTCAGTATGTATTATAGAATCTTCATCATTTTACAAGTTGTGGAGTTATTCTCCTTCACACGCTACATGCTACCTACCATCATTTGCATCTACTTATGATTTAATAATAATTATATATTATACCTATTACGAATAAAAAAAAAATCACACTATTAATTCGTTAGAATTTAAATGTGGAAAGCTTTAAACACTTAATTGAGCATAATTTACAAAGCGTGTTGCATATACGTAATAAAACTTTCGTATACCTTAGTGAATAACGAACTCTCATTTAACGATTTTTATTTTTTATTTAAAGAAATATGGCTTCAACAACTTAGGTTATTAGCCTGACATTAATTTTTACATGATATTTTCTTAAGATTAGTGTTATATGTTGTATATACAAATTACATTTATTGAATTACAAGGTCACAATTTTTTTATGATATATTTAACGAATTGTTCTGTTAATTAAATCGTTTTGAGAATCACAATCAAATTAGAAATAAATTTCGGCGCAACCAAAGTGGGTCTCAATAACTAGTGCTAACTGCTAATCGAAGGTATTACACATTTACACTAGTAAGTTGGGGTTGGGATTATTTTTAGGTATCTACTTGAGTAGGTTTTTTAGGAATCTATACTAAACTCTAGTAGGGTTCCCAATTATTTTAAGTATTACACTAGTCGAGTTCCTAATCCTAATATGTTTTGGTGTAAACTAAATACTAAATGATTAAACTAAAATTTCCGTTCCTATTTCAACAGACTTTGGATAGTATTAAACAAAATTTGTGGTTAAAAATGCTTTTTTACAGATTTATTAGCTTCTTTGCTATTAAAAATATGATTTGATTAATTTGGAATTTATTTTATAGCTACCTGAATTTTTTTTTAAATTAATATAGTATAAAATATCCTAGATTGACAACTCGTTTCCACTCATAATCGTTTTTATATAAAATGATATTATATCATTAAATTCAAATTTTACTGCAGAGTGAGTAGAGTGACATCCACAAACCCGCTTATTTCATATATTTTGATTTATAAAATTTTATAATACTTTGTCGTGGTATTGTACTTATATTTTGTGTTATATCATAATTTGTAAAATGCTTGTGATTTATATTGTATAAGAAATTAAAAAAAGAAACTGTACAAAAAATTTTTAATCATACCTTTGGACTTTGGTTTAAATTAACTCCAACTTACTTAAAATAGGAAGGAAAATGTTAGTATAATTTAGTATCTATATTTACCAAAAATTATTAGGGACGTATAATACTAGTGTAATACCTATAATAATCCCGGCAAGGGGTTGTTAGTTCGAAAATTATGTGACGAATGTATGTGACGAATGTATGTGACAATATGTACGAATGAAAAGTGTTCGAATATTATGTGTGAATGAGTGTGTCTGAATTAAAAGTATTCGAATGTTATCTGTTAGAAAGTTTAAATGTTCGAATATTATTTTTATTGTGGAATCAACAAAATGTAATTTTTCGGTATAAAAATTATTTATTATTATTATTATTATTAATCTTAACTATACAATTTAATATGATATTATATTATCTAAAAAAAAAAAAAATGTTTTAAAAAAATAAATTATAAGCAATTCCCCTTAAAAATTCTAAAATATTAAAATCAGCATTGTCAGCATTGTTTTTACAGCTTAGAACAAGATTTTTAATACGTTCTTCTCGTTGTTGTTTGGACTCTTTAAACTTTTTTGGAAACCTGTTTTGAATCAACTGTTTGATCGAACTTTCTGTTTCGTTCTGAATGTGCTGAAATTGGGTAATCAGTTTATATACACCTGGCTTCCTGGATGTTAACCTATAAATAAATATAACATTGAGAAAAATATTTGGAATATCAAACAATTCTAGTATTTTACTTATTCAAGCGACTGTGCCATGATTCAACAATGTTAGTTGTTCGTGGCAATTCAACCTCCACATGTGCAGCAACTGACCATAACTCTGAAGAAAACATCTGAAGTTTTCGGGTCTGTCCACGCAATCTCATGAATGGTTTTCCAATATAAGTTGATTCAAAGTATTCCAACAGTTTTTGTATACGATCGTCATTTGAAAATAATGGTTTAATTTTTTCCCAACCTTTGATGACCTTGGATAGTTAAAAATAAAAATAATTACTTATTATCCGATATCATAAAAGTATAAAAACATAAATGATATGTTAATACCTTTGTTATAGGGAGAAATGCCAATGCTGGAAGATGGCGACAAAGTAGATTGAAATTGAAAATCTTCGATGTATTTCGTTGCCAAACCTTCTTTTTGAATATGTCGGTATATATTTTGTGAGAAATGAAAAAAACAAGCCGAGTGAAAAGCGGATGGAAATACATCGTTTATCGCATTAATGGCTGCGTTTTCAAAGTATGTTATAATTTCTAAATTATAATTTCTAGTTAAATTTATATCATTTTCTAAAGCAAAATTATTTAATTCTAAAAACATTGTCCTGTCCGCATATTCTGTTTGCTTGACCATTAAACTAAAAACTAACGGTACACAAATAGTCCCATTTCCTTTTTAATATTTCCATGTATCATGTACATTTGTTTAAAAAGTCCAGGGCAAGACTTGAAAGTTCCACCAGCCAACCAAAATTGAGACTCACTTAAATATCGTAAGTTTTCGATGGTAGATAATATAATAATATTTTTATCTGTGTCACTACCAATATCTTTAATATAAAATTCTTGTCCAGATAATGTTTTTCTCAACTCTGGTGGTAAGTTTAAATCTCTCAAAGAGCAYGGTTCTGTTAATTTTCCTTTTCTTTGTCTCTGAATTAGTATTTTTCATATACCATCTGGCTTTCAACAAATTATTAGGTGAATTATATCTGTGACTATGAACGATATTCTTATAATTATATCGTTATTATGTTCAAATAGGAAAATATAACATTCGTACATAATACTATTCGAATACCTTTCCATTCGAACAGATTTGTTCGAACACTCTTCATTCGAAAACAATTCGTTCGAACACTCGACTAGTTCCCTAATAATCCCGGACCCAACTAGTATAGTTATGTTAAATCCAACTCTGATGCATCCCCAAATTTATTTAACTATACATTTTATAAAATTATTTTTATKTTTCCTTTTATTGAATAATAGGGCAGCTGCTCGCCTCTTGGCTTCGCCAGTTCACCTATGTAACCTAATTTATCATAATTCAACAGTTGTTTAATTAAACATGTAATATTCAAGTTGGGTAACATAATCTTAATTAGTGAGTTTATTTTTGAAATAACTTAATTATCTACCAACCAATTTAATTACAGTTAGTACGGATTGAGCAATTAATTAATTTGCTAAATTTTAATAATTTCAAGCAATTATTTGAAATATATTTATTTAATCAAATACATGTTATCTTTTAAAGGTAATTGTGTCATTCGCTATCACGATTAAAGGGACATATTAATCTTTAACCGTGCTTGCTGTTCATTATTTTATTACTGTCTTCATTATTATATTATGAATGGCACAATAATTGTACATTATTGTATTATTTGTATCTGTTATATAGTGTAGGAAATAATACGACGAATAAAAATGTCAGAATTCAGGATTTTCGTTTTTTAATAGGCACCTATATCATTCAATAATAATTCAATCATATTAGATTATGTTTGATATTTTTATATAGGCAAATGGTAATATTTTTCTAGATAACAATAATTATTTGCATTACGTTATAGATACCTATTGTTTTATATTATTTGCAATTTTGTAAAATAATCTTGACTTTTGAGATGTTTTTAAAGGAAATATTTTGTAATCACCTTATTTATGGAAGAGTGATTTATATCTGCAAAATAGTAAATATATGTATTTTAGATCATAAGTAAATACATGATGTAGTATAATATGAAAATATAGTTATGTCGTAAATTATTATTTTCTAAATTGGTTAAGCAAGAAAGCTTATTTATTACTTATGTTTTTGAGTTTTTCCAATGACGTTTGCTATGTTCATAAAAATAAAAATAGTATATAATAAATTATAATAATCAGGTATTCGTGTTTAATGCGTACTTATACTGAAGACAACTCCAACTCTTATATTATGCATTAGGTATATACCTAGGTGGATGTATAACTCTATAAACGTGGAAGGGGATTTGAAACGTACTCTCTTCCTACCTACTTGCCTTCCTACCATTCCAGAAATAATAGTGTATAAATTATTCTGTCTACTAAACATCAGTTCACAAATTCTTAAGCCGTCAGTGGTCAATGTTTGCCGAATAGCGTTATATCTACCTACGTCGCAATAAACAGTTRTTTTATTAAAATATAAGTGTACCTACCGATAATAACTTATAAATATTTTTCAAAAATCAACGTTCAATACCTACTCAAACATTTATTGCTCATTTGTAGGATCTTCTGAGTCGATCTACAGAAAAATGGTAAATATTGTTTTAATTTTATAACAAATCAAACTCAAAATATAGCTAAATCGTTCAATATCATCATATTCGATTTAGACGAATTAATAAAGGAATATGAATAATTGGAGAAGTTGTATTGTTGTTATTTTAAATAAATATAAGTAACTGTTATACCATCGTGTACACTCACGGTTGATATGTTTTGATGGGTGTCTGGGATTGAGCCGCAATGAACCCTTTTTCAAAAAGGTGTATGGTATTTAGGCCATTATTTCAAATTGTTTTTATTATTATATCTTTTAAGCAGTAAAACTTCAAATAAAAGTTTAGATTAGGATTAGGTAAGCACAGGAACAAAAAATACAGAAAACGAATTGTAATTCGAAATAATCATATTCGAAATAAAATTTTTATTATTATTATTATTTATTTATTCTTTAAAAATGTTTCAGCACACCAGGTGCAATTACAAATATATTTACGAAATAAAAATTAAAAACATGAAAGAGAAAAAAAAGATTTGTATTTGTGAAATCTATAGGGATTACCTATTAAGAAAATAATAAAATTAAAATTTGACCTACCTGCCTATAGGTATAGTTTTGTATTTATTCAAAAAAAAAAAAAGTTTAAGTACTTTCTATAACTAATAAAATGTTAGATACGTATAGTATTCATTTATAGTTTTGTGTTCTACATCTGTGGCACGATCTCCGGTAATAAAATATAAACAAATATTACGGCCCAGTTACCGATTGTGTTTTGATAAGCTTGAAAAATTATAATTAATCTAAGAGATTCAAAGGTTAGCATTATAACTAAGTAAATGTTGTTTTAAAATTGTTATTTACGATTTATCTTATAATTAATACCAACTAAACAAATATTATAGAACAATAATAAATACAGTGGTTAGTTGTATTTAATATTTATTTTTAAATATAAAGCAATAGATCCTAACTTTTAATTTTTGTTGCGYGCATTTTTAATAAATCAGGCGTACCTATACATATACTTATAGATAGGTAAAACAAAATGGTATACTGATTTTTGAAGAAAAAAATATGCAAATATTGTTTAGAATTGTGGATTAGAGTGTATTGAGTGAAATATAGATTAAATAATGGAATTGAAATCAGAATGGAACTTTGATAGGTAGTAATATTATTTACATGATAATAAAAGGTCTATGTCAGTTGCACTTAAGGGACAGACACATATCTACATTTTACCATGACACAATGRCTAATTGACATTGGGTTAGGAAATTCAATTAGATGAAAACATTATCCAAAGAAATTTATTTTGAATAATCTCGTATAGGAACATATTTTAATGCAGCTCAATGTTTGTGGAGATAAATATTGACGATTGGAGAAGCCCTTTAAATTTTTATTGAATTATTGTATGCTCATCGTTGCGGTTGAATTTGAATTTCATGGAATAAATAAAACCGTCCAATTTCCATAATTTATAATTGTATCTCATTAATCATTTATCAGAAATGGCCGGTCCGATTTGCTTATGGCATCATGTTTTTATAAATATTAAATATACGAACAAATAATATTCCTATTATACTATTTTTATATAGGTRCATTAAATTTTAACTTCCAGCTTAATTTTGTACATCTATAAAAAAAGGTTTAAATGTTAAGATGATCAATAATTTGACACTTTTAGGTTGTAACACATTAGCAAAGTTGCGCAGTAAAAATAACGGTTTAAGAACCATCTAAACATTTATTTGCAATATATGAAAAAGAAATTATAACATAATAATATAAAGAGAAAAACAATTTACGTTTAGTAATTAGTTCAGTTTGCTTCTTGTTGTGGTGACCTTGGATAATGTTATACAGTACCTAATTATATATTCTTGTATACTATAAAGTAGTTAAGAATATTGGGACGCACTTGAACGGTTAAGTTAGGTTATGCAGTTATGTTGGTTGTTGCCGAACCGGTTATTATTTCTATACATTATAATAGTTTATTAATAAATAATTTTAGCAGACGTGAATTGGTCTTGAACTCTTATGATTTCCGTGATCTGTATTGCCGATACAGTTATAGCCTATATTTGTAAGATTTAAGTAAGTACTCAATTATAAAATATTCAAATYGGTAGGTAGTAGGTATTCGATTTATCTGTTTTAAAATTCTACTGCMCAAATATCACAGCACTATATTATTTTAGGGATAGAAATAAAATATTTAGTATTTTGGGCAAGGCCCGATGCGAGGTCCAATATAATAATTTCAGTGAAATAAAAGTTATCTTGACTTTAATACTCCTGACCCCAACCAGTTTTGTTAGTAAGTGACTATTATATTTTATTTTTATATTATTATTTTAACATTTTTTCAGAGTGTACTACGATTTTCAATCATTTTTGCAGTATCATTAACTTGCATATGTGCCCAAAAGCCATTTTATGCATCAAGCAGTAATCAGTATCCAAGCGTCTTACCCCAAAATCTACCAAATAATTCGGATGTAGGGAACAGGATCGGTGAAAACTCCACTCCTGATCCGTTCGTGGGTTCAGAAAAGTTGCCAATATACAACGTGGAAAAAGAACTTGTTGATAGAATAACAAGCCAATATCCCAGAGACAAGCAACCGTTTTGGTATGTGAATGCCGCACAGCTGAACAGCATTAGGTACCAACAGCAACCCGTCGTACAACCGGCGGAACAACCGGCGGTACAACCAGCGGTACAGCCAACTGTACAAGCGGTGGTGCAACCAGCGGTACAACCAGCGGTACAACCAGCGGTACAACCAGCGGTACAACCAGCAGTACAACCAGCGGTACAACCAGCGGTACAACGGGCTGGGCAACCGGTGGCACAGCGAGTGGCACGACCAGCTGTACAACCGATCAACGACTTCGCACCGAATAGGCGTCAACAAGTGACCRTTCAACATCAGCAGCGCAATTTTTAATCAGGAAATGCGTTCTGAGATCATTTAACATATATTCACATATTATTATCATAAATCTTATAACGTCTCTAAATATTAGAAACTGATTCTGGTAGTCGTAAAATATAATAATAATAATAATAATAATAATAATATTATATTATATTGTCAAAAGAGTGTACAACTTACCTAAACAGAAAGGTATATAGGTGATAAAGATTCATTTATAATTTAATATAATGAATAACGATTAATGAACTACAAAAAATGATTTCGCTATTCGATTCTAGTGTGATTTAAAATATTTAAGACTATCCAAATATACCGTTTTATTGATCATTTTTAACTAACTGGATATGTCAACTAACATAATAATTAGGAAAATATTTAAAAAAAAATGATTTGTTGTTAACTATTTCAAATATAAGTATACTATGGAACTTATGAATTACAATTTTTGTTTTCTAATTGAAATTTTCAAATTAACGAATGTTTMTTTCTTGGAGAAAAAAGTAGTTATTAACTAAAAATGCAATTCATATTTAAAAAAAATTGTAACTTGGATCAGTTATAATATAGTAATATACTATAGAATAAGACGTACTAATTTCCAATAACTTTGTATCAACGTCATTGTAAAAGTATTTTTAATGTCTATTATTTAATAATTTATTTTTATTGTGTACTAAATATATTTAGTATTTTATTTTTTATCTCAAGTAATAAATTATCTTGTGTTATTTTGCATTGTATTTTTTTTACTTCAGCAATACAAACGTTAAAATATGATATTAACGAAGGCTTGGAATACAAAACAAAGAGCTCGTTTAATTAATGTAATGAACTAACATGAAAATTATTTTCGTCAATTTATGTTTCACGTTAGGTATTTACAACATACCTAACTGATATTTAAATGTTGTGTAGGTACAGCTGAGTTTAAATTTAACAGACATTATGCACAAATTATGTTACTACCTTATTATTTATTAGTGTCTTACTTCAATTTTATCTCATGATGAATTTCTGAAATATCTCACTAGAGTTAAAACCAAATTCCTTATTTTTTTTTAATTTTAACTTAYCCYGAATATAATTTTAAGATCTAAAAGATGAAAAAATTGGTATTGTTCCACAGTACAGTATAGGCGTTGAGTTAATGTTTTGGATGTGTTAAATTTGAATTTAATGATATAAAATCATTGCATACAAAAACGTATGAGAATACGTGCGAGATAGCTTATACAGTATAATACAGCTTAATATACTGTATATTTTACTTATTGCCTATATTTTTACTATTATTGTTATTAAAATAACTTACTTATTATTTTTTATTATTTTTTACTATTTCTGATACAGTATTTATTTTAGATTTTTCAGACCATCCTAATAATAGTGGATGTGGACACTAGTAACTGGTTCAAAAATTAATAATTACCTCTTATAAATGGATACAATACATGTGCATATCGAAAATGTCTAAGGAATAAAAATACTATATTTATCTTTCATACATTTTTTTCATATTTTATTTTATCCTTATGGTTTTTCTATTAAATTTGTTTTGGAGCTAAATAAGCTAAAGATCATTTGACTGTTTTATTATGATGTGTAAATAAGATTGGAAAATTTGAGACTCCGTTAATAATTGGTAAATCACTAAAACCACACTGTTTCAAAAGTGTAAATGTATTAATGTTAGATGGTAATTGGAAAGCTAACCACAAAGCGTGGAAAACAATAAATAATTTAAAAATAAATAAAATGAGGTCGCGTTATTAATGGTAGCCCATTTGCAAATTCATTGCGGAGAGCAGAAAAAATGAACACAAAAATATTACAAATTTTTTTAATTGTACATAAACATTAAATATTTTTACAATAACTTTTATACCCACTTTTTTATACATACGTTTCGTTTGTATAGGTATAACTAATGATTAGTTAATATGTACCAATTTCAATGTATCATGTATGAAATTCAAATTGAACTATATTCTATACCTCTACTTTATAGACATGTATAGTGTATACTATACATGTATAAAAATAATAAGTAGTACTATTCATCAAATTGAATTTGGTATCATACTATGTAATATAGGTACCATTTTTATGAAACAAAAAAAAAAGTATTGCCAYCCGTTTTAGTAAAAATAATTAGTAGGGTGCTCTCCAAAATCAAAATATAAAAATATTAGATGAGCACCATTCTTTTGCAGCGCTTCCTCCACCTAATTCAACGTCTTTGTTTTGATTCAGATGTGTATAGAAAAGGTACCTAGGTATATCAAGGTGTATAAAAAAAAAACTCCAAAAATTTATGATTGAAACGATTATTTTATTGTTATCTAATTGGTATAATAATTTATTTTTGTATAGTTGTAGTTCTAAAGCGATTAATAGATTTTTATATAAACACAAAAAAAAGGATCGGACTGGATAAAAAAACAATTATGTATATATATCGACGCATTAAACAACTGAAAAATAAATCAAAACGGTTAACCACATTAAATATTTTCGTTCATTAATCCTACAACTTCTACCTAATGATTTATTTAATGGGATTAGACGTATCTAACAGTGGACATTATATTATTTAGGTATTAACGGTATTGAGTATAAATAAATTGTCTGAAGAGATTGCGTCAAAGTTAAAGCAGAACTGTATTTAATMAACGAATTTTATATACTGACCATATGCCTGACCTCTTGAAGAGCCTCTGCATGAGAGAACTCATAAATAAAATTTAAATTCGTTCGGAATAGTTGTACATTTTATGGTTTTATTACTATTTTATATTATATTATTTAATTATTTATTATTTATTTTATGGTTTTATTTTTAATTTTGTTATCAGAGAGTATCTTTTTACTACCCATACTGATTAAATAATTTTTACTTTGTTAGTATTAGGTATATCACCTATGATAATGGAGATTTAATAGTTTTAAACAGTTTGTTTTCAAAACCGATAAAAATGGCCTAGGATAAAGATATTGAATAAGTTCAAAATCGGTAAAAGAAGACTTAATCTTTAGCTAATAAATATAAATATATATTTTAAGATACGAACAAATGTTATAATTCCACAGTTTAATGGTAATAAATTGAGACTTTTATTAGGTACCTACTCAGCTTTTTTTATGGTGGATAAGTCCCAATTGTTTGTTATTCATAACATTTTTTCCACGGAATACTATTTAAGTACCTATTACACTATCTAAAGCCAGTCCGGTCCTATTAAAGAAACGCAYATAATTATAATTGTATTATTTTGTACGCGAAGAGTAAAAGCAACAAGAAACATTTGAATGATAACATTGATATCTAAGTATAAATTGCATAGGTAAAGTTTAAAAGTTTGAACACATAACAAATCAATAACTATAGTCTATAGAGTTCAGATACAATAATAATATATAAAAACTATATAACACTATTACAATATATAGTAACATTAAAATGTTCTAACTACTTAACTAGTAGGGTACCTACCCATATTGTAAATATTAAAAACAATACATTTAGGTAATATAACAACGAAGAGAGTTAATAAATATTTAATACATTACACGTATTTATTATTTAGTACGATTTACCGCCTCTTCCAGTGTAAAAGTACAAGATAATATTATACTGATCATTATTATAGTAATACATTTTTAAAATCGTAATTTGATATAAATTTAATAACATTTAAACATAATAGTGAACAATAAATATCCTTATCTACTTAATAACAATAATAACTTATTTCAAATTCACAAAAACTATTTCCAATAGTACAATATTATGTAGTTAATTCTAATGATATGTAAAAGTCCTACAATTGATATGTATCAAGTTAACAAAATCGTTAATGACATTTAGGAATGATTTTATTTTTATATAATATAATGATAAATGATATGTAAATTTCAAACAGCTTATTATGTATACTGAGTTAGGTAACATAATTCTTATTTAATTGTAGCGATAACATTATTGTGAAAAAATGTAGTTAATGATATGTAGATTTCAAACAATTGATATGTATTAAGTTAACTTAATTATGAATTAATCGCAGAAGATAGAAATTATATTTTAAAGATACTTTTAATTTAAACCTATATGTTTTTTTAATGTAGACTTATTCAAAACAATTATAGTCTCAATGATTACAGAAAATTGAATTGATATATTAAGTATATAATTTTAAGTGTGGGTAACTAATGATCACTATATGTGGGATATTCTCATTATACCTTGGTATACTGTTCAGGAATACAATTGCAGTTAAGCAATTTTAACTAGAGATACTAAATGGTATATATATATTGATAACAAATAACAAATAACATTAGATAAATAGCAATAATATGACTATAACGTCTTAATTATGTTATAATGAATATAATTTAAAATATTTAACTTAGATAATAATAGTAAACATGTAGTCGTCAACAATAATATAATTTTGAATTTAATATTGAAATAAAATTATATCCAACTACCTACCATAAATGTTTAAAAAAAATTATTTATAAACTTGTTTTTTAAAATATATGAGAATTCATGTTCTTATTTTTATATTTTAATAATCTCTGAATACTGAAAGCATTTGAAACATCACGAGTCCTCAAATAGCGACAGGTTAATATAATTAATTTAACGAATAAAAAAAAATTATCATTAAAAACAAATAAAACAATAACAAGTGTTTAAAATTTAGATTCGTTTTTGACGTGGTAGAATATGAATAAATTTATAACGACTCAATGCACTGTAATGCATTCGATAACTAGTTAAGTGTTTGGTAACTACAAATTTCAAAGTGTTAAGTACGATTGTACATATATAATAATATTAAAGTTATTTATCACTCAAAGATATGTATATGGTACTAAAAATAATATGAAAAAATTTCAAAAACATGTGCAAAAAATATGATCGAACAACGTTGTCTTAATTTCTTTTCATGTATATCATTTTCTGCATAGTCATCAAACTTTGTTCGAGAGCTACTGTAAAAGCATTGTTGTTTGTGGTCCTAGATGATTTGAACGAAGATATACAGAACACCAGAGAATTGCTTTGGGGATTATAGGAAACACCATAGCCGTCCGGTACAACTGGTCCGTAGCCCATGAAACTGTCCGTGGAAGTTAATAGCTAAAATGAATAAGAATAAAAAACAATACGTTAGGTTAAAATAAACCCTAACACGATATACATTAAGTATATCTTGCATACGAAAATTGGTAATAAACAAATTAGGAAATATGTGAAATATTTTTTATGATATAATGACTATATTGAGTTGAATGCTTAAATAATATTATTTCATACATGTATCTATTCAAGGAAAATTTTCATTTTCTAAGTAAAGCGTATAATAATAATAATAATAATAACAACAAGTAAATGAGGTGACATAAACGAGATAATATGCTTTGTCGGTTGGGTATTATTAATATCATATAAATTCAACGGGTTTTGTTATTTAGATTCTGGGGGTGAAGTGATATATTAATTTTGGTTGTATCTTGTATGTAGGTACAATATAATAATTTGTCTAATGTAATATAGCTATTTAGGTAGTTCCTATAGGAGTGTTTTATATATT